ATTAGAATTATTCTACATATATTTTCAATAAAATATAAAATTCATTTCATGCATTTTCAATGAATTATATTTACTTGGAATTAAACTTGATTTATCTGCAATTTCATCAAGATTCAACAACTATTATACAACATATATTTTCAATAAAATGGAACATTTATTCAATGAATTATATTCACTTGTAATTAAACTTGATTTGATCACAATTTCATCAAGATTCAATTAGAATTATTCTACATATATTTTCAATAAAATATAAAATTCATTTCATGCATTTTCGATGAATTATATTTACTTTGGAATTAAACTTTATTTATTTGCAATTTCATCAAGATTCAACAACTATTATACAACATATATTTTCAATAAAATGGAACATTTATTCAATGAATTATATTCACTTGTAATTAAACTTGATTTGATCACAATTTCATCAAGATTCAATTAGAATTATTCTACATATATTTTCAATAAAATATAAAATTCATTTCATGCATTTTCGATGAATTATATTTACTTTGGAATTAAACTTTATTTATTTGCAATTTCATCAAGATTCAACAACTATTATACAACATATATTTTCAATAAAATGGAACATTTATTCAATGAATTATATTCACTTGTAATTAAACTTGATTTGATCACAATTTCATCAAGATTCAATTAGAATTATTCTACATATATTTTCAATAAAATATAAAATTCATTTCATGCATTTTCGATGAATTATATTTACTTTGGAATTAAACTTTATTTATTTGCAATTTCATCAAGATTCAACAACTATTATACAACATATATTTTCAATAAAATGGAACATTTATTCAATGAATTATATTCACTTGTAATTAAACTTGATTTGATCACAATTTCATCAAGATTCAATTAGAATTATTCTACATATATTTTCAATAAAATATAAAATTCATTTCATGCATTTTCGATGAATTATATTTACTTTGGAATTAAACTTTATTTATTTGCAATTTCATCAAGATTCAACAACTATTATACAACATATATTTTCAATAAAATGGAACATTTATTCAATGAATTATATTCACTTGTAATTAAACTTGATTTGATCACAATTTCATCAAGATTCAATTAGAATTATTCTACATATATTTTCAATAAAATATAAAATTCATTTCATGCATTTTCGATGAATTATATTTACTTTGGAATTAAACTTTATTTATTTGCAATTTCATCAAGATTCAACAACTATTATACAACATATATTTTCAATAAAATGGAACATTTATTCAATGAATTATATTTACTTGTAATTAAACTTGATTTGATCACAATTTCATCAAGATTCAATTAAAATTATTCTACATATATTTTCAATAAAATATAAAATTCATTTCATGCATTTTCGATGAATTATATTTACTTTGGAATTAAACTTTATTTATCTGCAATTTCATCAAGATTCAACAACTATTATACAACATATATTTTCAATAAAATGGAACATTTATTCAATGAATTATATTTACTTGTAATTAAACTTGATTTGACTCAAATTTCATCAAGATTTAACTACACTTTTGCAATATATATTTTCAATAAAATAGAATTGAATTTCATTGCAATTTCATCAAGATTCAATTACAGTGATATAACATATATTTTTAATAAAATAGAAAATTCGTTCGATGAATTATATTCACTTGTAATTAAACTTGATTTGATCACAATTTCATCATGATTCAATTAGAATTATTCTACATATATTTTCAATAAAATATAAAATTCATTTCATGCATTTTCAATGAATTATATTTACTTGGAATTAAACTTGATTTATCTGCAATTTCATCAAGATTCAACAACTATTATACAACATATATTTTCAATAAAATGGAACATTTATTCAATGAATTATATTTACTTGAAATTAAACTTGATTTGACTGGAATTTCATCAAGATTCAATTACACTTATGAACATATACTTTCAATAAATTATAAAATTCATTCAATAAATTTTCCAATGAATTCCCTTCATTTCTAATCAGCCTTGCCTAAGAAATAAGAAATAAGACCCAAATAAATTAGAAATATATCCTCTGCAACTAACAATTTATTTTCAAAAACTCACACACACACGAACAGAGAACCCAGTGTCGCAAATTATTATTATACGGAGCAACCGTAAGGGATGTTGTCCATATATTTCACACTATAAACCGTATCCTGCCCCCCTATTATGCAGGGTTGGGGCTCTCAGAGACTTAGGTACACAGAATATAAACTAGATCTGGGCCAAATCCCTTCCGAACCTTTCCACCGATAGAATCGCAAACCCCCCTCACGAATTGTGAGAAAATTTATGTGCCAGTGCGTCTTTTCCCCGACCGGGGACCGTAACTTAATGCAAGAATTAGATTCGGAATTAATCAAGAGTCCTTTATTCTTCTCGAGTCCTTAAATAACAGACCTATCCTTCTGAAAATTCCGTTTCCTTCGCGCAACGCCCAGAAACACGAGACTTCCGCGTCGTAGCGATGCTCCTACTTCCGGTTGCACGTTGGGGAAACTTCCAAACTCAGAAAAAAGAAAATTTTTATTTTTCAATCATAAAAACGAGTTTCGAAGGAAAAACGAACGATCGATTGCGAGAGATCGACAGATGCTGTCGAGAAATTGTTTTCGTTCCGATTCCGCGCAAAGGGGGATCGAGAAAATCGGATCAACGAGGTAATCCTTTCTCTTGGACGAAATCTTTTTAAGCGGGGTAAACTTTGAGAGTGGCCATTCTGTGGAGAAACGCGGACGTTTCTTCGGCTTAAGTGCGGATCTGCATAATCCGCGATTGACAGAAATGCGAAACGAGATTACGTCGCGTTTAAAGATTTTTAAACGACACTGACCCAACCGATTCTTGAATTTAACGATTTTTGCTTCTTTTCCTGTGGGATACACACTTTTGTGATGATATTATTGTAAATTGGACGAGGAAAAATCTTCCACCATTGTTGTATTCATAGGTTTCTTAACATATGAAGTTAGGTCATAAGGGGTACCAACTCCTAGTTTTGATATTTATCTTTATAGGTTGCAGATCTGTCTCAACCCTTCACCAAATAAATAAATAAAATACCAAATAAATTTGAACAAAAATCCTACAATTTTAATTGTCCTGAATCAAATTACTAATCCACAAATCCACCATTGCAGATTTATACACAAAAGATTGGCAGAAACTACAAAAAAAAGCACAATATAAGTTTCTATGCAATTTTGTGCTCCTTTTTAAAGAGTCTTAACCCTTCGCCAAATAAATAACAACGATTTTAATATTCCTGAGGAATCGAGCCACCAATCAACAAATCCGCCATTGCAGGGGTACATACGCAAAAGATCGCTAGAAACCACGAAAAAAGAACAATATAAGTTTCTATGCAATTTTGTGCTCCTTTTTAAAGAGTCTTAACCCTTCGCCAACAAAACAACAACGATTATAATTTTCCCCGAGGAATCGAGCCACCGATCCACAAGTCCGCCCTCGCAAATTCCCCGCTCCCATTATGCGTCCCCACGAGTTGTCTCGCTCTCGAAATAACAGGGGACCGGGGTTAGCCAAGAGGATCAACGTCGGTCGCGTACGCTCGCGCGCCTAGTTTCCCTCGATAAACGCACGCGCTGCGGCGCAGACGCAGACGCAGTCGCTGTCGCGCGGCACCACGAACACATACGCGGGTCCAACGCAACTGGCACACGCGCTCCCCCCCTCTGGCATATGGCGTGCACGGTCCCCCTTTTCAGTTCCCGTAGGGGAGGGGAGGGGGGAAAGAAACGAGGGGGCTGCGGCGCGTGCTCAAAATCCCCACCATTTCTTGCTCCTCGCACAACACGCGTCGCCCCTGTCCCCCCCTCTTCGTTCTTTCCGTCGCTCGTAGATCCTAATTCCCCGCCGCCCCTCCGGGGCTTCGTCCCCCCCGTCGCACTCCGTGGCAAAATGCTGAAACCTAACCCATCTATCGGATGTCCGCGCTCATTCTCAACGCGGACGCCATGCGGTGCGTAGCACGGAGGTCTGATCAGAACTGTTCCGTGAAAAAGTGACCATCGTGGCCCGGGAAACCCCCTGATCAAGTGAAAACGCGCGGGAAAGTGTCGACCATCTCGATTCACGGATACGGAGGACTTTCAGTGCACACGAGGACCATTGCCTCTCGAATAACGCTCGAACCACCCCCCTTCTACCTTTCTGACCGTTTCGGGGGGGGCCAGACACCATGCGAACCGCGACGAGCTGGCTTCGATGGAGACAATACTGCTCCGATCGGTAGCGAACGCCCGTGAAAAGAGTCCCTCGAATGGAGGTAAACTCTCGAACCTCTCAACTTTCGAAACGTTTGGTGCCTTGTAGATTTAGTATCAGTGCCTTCATTCGCGACAAGTGATAATGCATGAACGCTGGATCTAGAAGTCCAGCTACAGTCCGTTAAACTATCCATAAAACGGATGTGAAATGCTCTGAGATCGGGAAAAATCGCGTATTATTTTCGTGGAGTCGTCGACCGTCGGGCAGAAGAATAGACGGTGACCTCACTGCTTTACTTAAGTCGTTGCGACCGGCAGCGAGACAATTGGATCTTGGTTCGGGTCATCAGCTTTGTCATTTGGCCGTGGACCGTTCGAGCCAAAGATCTCGACAACTGAAACTCTCAAAGTTCTCAAAAACACTCAACAAAGCAATTACAATCCAAGAATTTTGATAGATAACGTTCGAAATATTCTGACCCAGATCCAAACCGAAGAGTAAAATCGAAGAGTCGAACCGTCTGTGTAATCATCTCGGTGTCCGAGGGGAGAGCGCGTTTTATTTATAAGTCCATCAATTAGACTCGTCCTCGAGAGGCATTAGAGTCGATAAGCAACTAATCGACTTGGCTATTCTCACGACACAAAGTTCTGCGTGCAGTCGGGACGCTGGGGAACCCGGGGAACACCGAGACAGATGAGAAGGAACGCCTCAGGATGACGACTATGGGTGTCACGGTGTTCTGCAACAGAGTGCAACTGAACGGGAACGATCAGGAGCAGTTGATGCTGCTGAGGACCCTCCAGGACAACGAGAGCAACATAATCGGCAACCAGCCTCACCTGATAGTCCCCAAGAACAACGGCAACATGAACTCCACGACTGTGTTGCCCCCCTACGACCCCTCCAGACTGAAGAAACACGGGAAGAACGGTCAACCGCCGCCGGTGGCGGTCGCGAGAAGAAACGCTCGCGAGAGGAACCGCGTGAAGCAGGTAAACAACGGATTTGCAACATTGAGGCAACACATTCCGAGTCACATAGCCGCGGGGTATGGAGACAGGGGCAAGAAACTGTCCAAAGTGGAGACCCTGCGTATGGCTGTCGAGTACATCAGGGGACTTCAAAGGCTACTCGCGGAGGCTGATGGATTGGAATACGACGCCAACTTGGGTGTTGCACAGTGCATGCCATCGCCCACCAGCAGCGTCGTTTCTTCCAGCCACAACGGGTCCGGCGAGAGGCTTATCCTCGAGGACGATGTCCTTGCTGGCGATGACGACGACAACGAGCACCTGGAAGACGACGAAGACAATGGGAAACAAAAAAACACGTCCAGGTAAATATATTTAAACGATGATGTTTAGACTGATTTGTTAGACTTGGGTTCTTCCATTTGATGTGAAGGATTCCAACGGTTCTGGTGGCCTAAAATAAAAAAAAGCTAGTCAGTGATATGGTTGTCTACGATTACAACTTGTATGCATGACGATTTGATTTGATTTGCTTGAATGAACTTGCTGAGATGAGCTGTTTGTTAGACTTATGATCTTCCATTTGACGTGAAGGATTCCAACGGTTCTGGTGGCCTAAAATAAAAAAAAGCTAGTCAGTGATATGGTTGTCTACGAGTACAACTTGTATGGATGACGATTTGATTTGATTTGCTTGAATGAACTTCCTGAGATGAGCTATTGGGTAGGAATGTTTGTTAGACCTATGTTCTTCCATTTGATGTGAAGGATTCCAATGGTTCTGGTGGCCTGAAATAAAAAAAAGCTAGTCAGTGATACGGTTGTCTACGAGTACAACTTGTATGGATGACGATTTGATTTGATTTGCTTGAATGAACTTGCTGAGATGAGCTATTTGTTAGACTTGTGTTCTTCAATTTGACGTGAAGGATTCCAACGGTTCTGGTGGCCTAAAATAAAAAAAAGCTAGTCAGTGATATGGTTGTCTACGATTACAACTTGTATGCATGACGATTTGATTTAATTTGCTTGATTTAACTTGCTGAGATGAGCTGTTGGGTAGGTATGTTTGTTAAACTTATATTCTTCCATTTGATGTGAAGGATTTCAACTGTTCTGGTGGCCTAAAATAAAAAAAAGCTAGTCAGTGATATGGTTGTCCACGATTACAACTTGTATGGATGACGATTTGATTTGATTTGCTTGAATGAACTTGCTGAGATGAGCTGTTTGTTAGACTTGTGTTCTTCCATTTGACGTGGAGGATTCCAATGGTTCTGGTGCCCTAAGATAAAAAAAAGCTAGTCAGTGATATATTTGACTACGATTACAACTTGTGTGGATGATAATTTGATTTGATTTGCTTGAACTAACTTGCTGAGATGAGTTGTTGAGTAAAGAAGTTAGTTAGCCCTATGTTCTTCCATTTGACGTGAAGGATTCCAATAGTTCTAATGCCCTAAAATAAAAAAAAGCTAGTCAGTGATATGGTTGACTACGATTACAACTTGTGTGGATGACAATTTGATTTGATTTGACGACGATGTTGCAGATTGTCACCGCATCGAACCGCGGTAGCATCCCCGCGGGATTATTATTCATCCTCGGTGGGGGATGAAGAGAACCTGGAGCCTAGGACTATGTCAGGGGCGCAGAACTTTTCCAGGTTGTCCCCTAACTCGATAGCCTCTCCACCCTCGGAGTATTATGGACAGAACGAGGAGAACCTCGAGCCGCAGACACTGTCGCCGTACAGTGGCGCCGGGGATAGCGAAGAGGGTGCAGCCACCGTTTACGCAACGAGTCCGGAAACTTTCTCCGGGGCTCTCTATTATAAACAGGAGATCACCGAATCCGGTGAATTCATGGACGTTGTCAGCTGGTGGGAACAGGAGCAGGGTAGGATGGTTCATCAGCAGCACTCCCAACGCCTCACACACGTGTAATAAAAAGGTTAGATCCTTTTTCCATTTCACCTAAAACGCTGAGAAAAATTCCAATGGGAGGAGATAACTTGAATTTTTAATATTTTCAACGTTGGATTTGGGGGATCACGTCAATTCGACATGGTCAAATTGTGAATCTGACGTTACAGAATTAGGGAATTTTATTTTTTGGGCAATTTGAGTTGAATTTAGGTGATGTAATGAAATAAATGTACAAGGTCTGTTCAAAAAGTGACAGAATTTTTCTAATTTTTTTAAACAAGCTTGCATTTTGCATCTCCAATCCATTCAGGAGTTATGATTTTTTATAGTATATTATTTATTTTATTTATAGTATGAAATTTGAGGGAAACATTTATGGTCAGGTATTATACTTTTCAATTAGGAATTTTTTTCTCGAAAGTGGGTAGGATTTCGGGGGTAGGTCTATTCACCAAAAGTGATTGTAATTGACACCCCTAGCTAAGAATAATTTTTTTAGAAGAATTTGAAAATTCTTAATTTTGTCGAAAAATTTCTGCACCTACTCGAATTTTTTTCTCGAAAATGGGTAGGATTTCGGGGGTATGTCTATTGACGAAAAATGATTGCAATTTACTTCTCTAGCTAAGAATAATTTTTTTATAACGATTTGAAAATTTTTAATTTCGTCGAAAAATTTGTCCAACTTCCTGAATTTTTTTCTCGAAATTGAGTAGGAATTCGTGGATATGTCTATTCACCAAAAATGATTGTAATTGACCTTTGCAGCCGCACATATTTTTTTTAGAACGATTTGAAATTTTTGAATTTGGTCGAGAAATTTATCCATCTATTTGAATTTTTTTCTCGAAAATGCGTAGGATTTCGGAGGTATGTCTGTTCACCAAATATTATTGTAATTGACTCTGCTAGCTAGAAATAATTTTTTCAGAACGATTTGAAAGAATTTTTTTTCGCCGGAAAATTTAGGCACCTACCCCCTGTCGATTTTTCTTGAGAATTAGTTTTCGATTTTTAGTAATTTTGTTTGACGCCCCACAGAAAAGTTTTCTAATACTTTTTTATAGGTATCCATGAGGCCCACTTCAGAAAAAAATTTCATTGAAATATATTCACTATTGTAGGAGTTATGGCTGTTTGAAAATTGGACCATTTTTATGGAGTTTTTCTAACTTTACGGGGTCAATGAATAAATTTTTTAGTATTTTTACAATTTCTACATATTCTCCACTAAAATACGCGTCGTTTGCCGCTTTGAACATTAAAATCCTCCAATCCGTTCAGAAGTTATGACATTTTAAAGATTCGCATGAAATCTCAGGGCAATATTTCTAGCCTGAAGTTATATTTTCAATAAGGAATTTTTTTCTCGAAAATGGTTAGGATTTCAAGGGTATGTCTAATGACCAAAAATGATTGTAATAGACCCTCCTAGCTAAAAATAATTTTTCCAAAACGATTTGAAATTTTTCAAAAAAATAAAAAAAATAAATTAATTTTTTAATAAACCTCATATATTCTAATTAAAAAAAAAAAAAAAACTGAATTTTAACGTAACAGTAAACCCATCGAATTACACTAAAAATACCCCCAACAATTATTCGTAAACCTAATGTTAACAATAATCGTATTAAAAAGAAAAAAAATTTTCTAAAAAATGGCATCACCTTGTATGGTTTCGTGAAAAAGAATTTCCAGTGGAGTGTCTGTAAGTGGTTCGAAAGCCTACGGGGATGTCGCTCGGGAGTCGCGCACGTGACAACTACTCCGAGGAAGCGTCGCCAAGTGGAAACTCGTGTTCGCCGTTTCCTCTCGAACACGTGCTCGAGCCTCGACGCTCCCGAAAATAAACTTTACGCGTTGTAACCACTTTGCGAAGTGCGTGCCGACGTGACACTTGGGTGCATCCTCTGCACACTCACGGGACCACTACACCGTGGCAATGGAGACCATGACAAAAACGTGTTAGGCGTAGAATTTGGAAATACAGACCTGCAAATAAATAATAAATGAGTCGTTGTTAGCAAGGAGTGTCAATGGAATGTTTATGCATTCATGGGAAATTTTAATTTTCTAAAATTATATAGTGCACTTAAGTTTTGTATTCATCAGGTATTTGTAAAGCAAATCTATTCTTTTTCTTGGCCATTATTCAAATTCAAATGAAATTCAAATGAAATTCAAAGAAAATTCAAAGAAAATTCAATGAAAATTCAATGAAAATTCGAATAAAATTCAAAGAAAATTCAAAGAAAATTCAAAGAAAATTCGAAGAAAATTCAAAGAAAATTCAAAGAAAATTCGATGAAAATTCAAAGAAAATTCAAGGAAAATTCAAAGAAAATTCGAATAAAATTCAAAGAAAATTCAAAGAAAATTCAAAGAAAATTCAATGAAAATTCAAAGAAAATTCAAAGAAAATTCAAATAAAATTAAAAACTATATAGTGCACTTAACCCCTTGGTGTACAATGATGACATTGACTCAAAAGTTCATGATTTCAAGTTTCACAGAGTCGTGAGTCCACTCATTAGTCATCAAGTCTCATATTTATATCAAAATCAACACATTTTTATATTTATCAGGTATTTGTAAAACAAATCTATCCTTTTTCGTGGCCATTATTCAAATTCAAATAAAATTCAAAGAAAATTCAAAGAAAATTCAATGAAAATTCAAGGAAAATTCGAATAAATTTCAAGTAAAACTCGTAGAAAATTCAAAGAAAATTCAAAGAAAATTCAAAGAAAATTCAAAGAAAATTCGAATAAAATTCAAGGAAAATTCGAATAAAATCCAACTAAAATTCAAAGAAAATTCAAATAATGTACATTCGAAAAATTATTAGGAATTAAATCATACATCAAAGGGTTAATACATCAAAAATACTTAAAAATACTATATTATACTTGGGGGTTGAAACAACCCTCTACAGTGCTCCCAATTAATTAATCCTAAAACTATAAATTTGCACAAATATTTGCAGTCTAATAATATAAACACAATATTTAAAATACTACGCATAAAAAAATCTTGAAAATTGTGTTTCCATTTTCTTAAAGTTCCAACAAAGTAACTGGAAAACCATATCAGTTGAAACTTTCCAAGGAACGTAACTCGAGGATCTGAAAATAGCAATTACAATCTTGCATTTAATTTGTTGCGCAAATGACGCAGACTGGGTATAAAATTACTTGATCAAATTCGAATAAAATTCAAAGAAAATTCAAAGAAAATTCAAAGAAAATTCAAAGAAAATTCAAAGAAAATTCAAAGAAAATTCGAATTAAATTCAAAGAAAATTCCAAGAAAATGTATAGAAAATTCGAATAAAATTCAAAGAAAATTCAAAGAAAATTCAAGGAAAATTCGAATAAAATCCAACTAAAATTCAAAGAAAATTCAAATAAAATTCAAAGAAAACTCAAGGAAAATTCGAATAAAATTCAACTAAAATTCAACTAAAATTCAAAGAAAATTCAAGTAAAACTCGTAGAAAATTCAAAGAAAATTCAAAGAAAATTCAATGAAAATTCAAAGAAAATTCAAATAAAATTCGAATAATATTCAAAGAAAATTCAAAGAAAATTCAAGGAAAATTCGAATAAAATCCAACTAAAATTCAAAGAAAATTCGAATAAAATTCAAGGAAAATTCGTAATGCTTTTGGAATTTTTCCATTCGTATTGGGGAGTATGGGTCTAAAAATTATTTCCCCGCATTCTTAGCTTAATGATCGCTTGCTCGCCACCCATATGTTAAGAATACGAAAGCTGTCGCCTTATGGTCGGCCCGAGTCACCCAAGTCGCATGTCGATACGCGCACATGCATCAAATATTATATCTGACTGCGTAACACGTGCGTTGCGCACGTTTCTAAGGAAACGGTGGCTTCTATTTGTGGCTCGACGTCTGCTCCAGGCGAGCTTTCTTTTTGATTTCTGCACCGCCACTCAACTTCCCAACGTTTCTGGACCTTAAAAATTAATATTCGCCATTTTCACCATAATCAACACTAAACTTAGAAATTTGCCTTCGCTAAAATTTTTAGAATTTTTAGAATTCGAGGCTATTTCATAAGAATTTCATTGTATATCGTTTCAGGATATTGCCATAGTCAATTTATAATATATAATTTTTAAATTATATCTCAAACTATAAAAATAAATATTTCAACAAAAGAACTCAAAATTTATTTAATTAAATCTATAATTTTTATTTAATCAATAAAAATTAAATGAATAAATGAATATATGTCCATTAAGACTTTTTTTTTTAAATAAATTTTATATTATATAAATATTAAAAAAAAAGTTAAAATTATTTGACTATTAAAACAAGCCAAGGTATAGTTATTTCAAATACCAAGTAAATAAATAAAATAATATATATTATTTTATTAATGAGAACAAAAGAATTTAAATCGACCTAGTAATAATAATAAAACTATGACGATAAAGAACGAAATATGTCGAATATTTTTATCGAAAGTTAAAGTTCCTTTTAAGGTCCGTTTCCTCTAGATTTGGGAAAATATGGCTCTAGTCGAGGGGGGAGGGGAAATACGAGTAACACGGAAGGAAACGGATCAATTGGAAGCTTGAGAAGATTGGGAAAGGTCTGGAAAAAGAGATATTTCGAGGAGGATACCTAACATATGGCAAAACGGTGAACCACTTCCGTTTGTGGCCGCTTTTGATGTGTTGCGAGGCGCACGATGAAATAGTGCGGGCTAGCGTGAACTTGAAATTCCCCTGGCACATGTTCTTCTTCATCCAACACCACTTTCTTTGGCGCAAATACATTGAAATATTTTTAATTTATGTTATTTAATTTTCTTTGAATTTTCTTTGAATTTTCTTTGAATTTTCTTTGAATTTTCTTTGAATTTTCTCTGAATTTTCTTTGAATTTTATTCGAATTTTCTATACATTTTCTTTGAATTTTCTTTGAATTTTATTCGAATTTTCCTTGAATTTTATTTGAATTTTATTTGAATTTTATTTGAATTTTCTTTG